TCAGACAATTTGAAGTCAATTTGAATGGGGTCTATAGGGCAGCCTATTCTATTTTATATACAAAGCAGATAATTTCTGCTTAATTCCGTAGACCTCCGGAAACCATGACTGATACTTTTTTGGTACTTCAAAAAAATATTCTTTAAAAATTAATCTCATTATGGGTACTCAAAAACATATTCTTTCACACTCTATTGGTACTTGAAAAAATTGAATAAATAGTCGTTAATAAATCCCCGCACTCTTAAAACTTTGATAAATATTCCTAAAAAATCTCCATCCTATCGGTAAACAAAAATTTCCCCTTAAGAAATTCACTCGTGGTATTTTTTTAAGAATTTAAAAAGTTCCACCTTAACAAAGTTTTTATCTTAATTTATTGAAACACATAAAAACTACATTTCTCTCCCTATCCAATAGTGAAAGTTCCATTCAAATACCTCAATTCCTCGCCGAGTTACGGCCATTTGAAATTGTCCCTGCATCAAAATATAGCTGCTAGACGATTCTGTTTGCCTGGTATGGCAAATGAAAAAACTGAAGAATTTGCAAAACCACAAAAACAAAAAAATTTTGGTTTTTTGGACATGCAATTTCTTCAGTTTTCCCATTTGCCATACCAGGCAAACAGAATCATGTAGCATCTATATTTTGACACATGTTCAATTTCAAATGGCCATAACTCAGCGAGGAATGAAGATATTTGAATGGAACTTTCACTGTTGGATAGGAAGAGCAATGTTGTTTTTATGTGTATCAATAAATTAAGAGAAAAAATATGTTGTGTTGGCACTTTTTAAATTTTTACTAAAAATACAACGGGTGGATTTTTAAGGAAAATTTTCATGTCACTATTGGATTGGCGAAATATTGTGGTTTTTATGTGTGTATCAATAAAACACAAGAAAAATATTGGAAGTTTTTTCTTAGTTTAAAGAAAAATCCCTGACTAACTGAATTTGATAGCAAAGTTTTAAAGAATATTTTTTCAAGTACTACTGGATCGTGATTTTTTATTATAGGCATAAATTTTAATACCCTTCAGCCATATGGCTAATGAGGGTATATACACTTTGCTACCGCAAAACTGTGCCTTATCGACATCTTGGTTATAGACCCTATAGACCCCATGTTTCTTTGTACCAAATCCGTTTCAGACAATTTGAAGTCAATTTGAATGGGGTCTATAGGGCAATCTCTTCTATTTTATATATATTATATAAAGCAGATAATTTCTGCCTCCACAAACCATAAAATGAAGGTTTATATCTATAGCAACACTGACTGATACTTTTTTACTTGTAGGCCTTTTCTAAATCCATGCCTTTTAGTAGGCATTGACAAGGTATTCCTTCGAATTCTAAGCTCTACAGGCACTTGAAAACAAATTTAGAAAAATAAAAAATAAATTTTGTAAATAATCGCCGCTCGATTAGTACTTAAAAAAATAATCGATGTTCTATATCAACTTGAAAAATGTATTCTTTAAAAATGTTCCCTTTACTCAAGAGCATATTCTTTTCTTTCACGCTCAATTGGTACTTCCAAAAAAAAAACATTCTTTAACAAAAAGTATTCTTTAAAAATTATCCCCACTATGGGTACTTAAAAACATATTATTTCAACCTCTATTGGTACTTGAAAAAATATTCTTTAAAAAATGTACGCTCTATTTGCAAATGAAAAAATATTCGTTAATAAATTTGTACTCTATTGAAACTTGGATAAATATTCTTAAAAAAATCTCCACCCTATCGGTAAACAAAAATTCCCCTTTAAGAAATGCATCCTTGGTAATTTAAGGAAACAATTTAAAAAAGCCTACATAACATACCATTTTCTCGTAATTTATTGATACACATAAAAACTACATTTCTCTCCCTACCCAATAGTGAAAGTTCCATTCAAATACCTCAATTCCTCGCCGAGTTATGGCCATTTGAAATTGACCATGTATAAAAATATAGCTGCTACACGATTCTGTTTGCCTGGTATGGCAAATGGAAAAACTGAAGAATTTGCAATGGCACAAAACAGAAAAATTTTGGATTTGTTGCCAGATTGTTTGCTTTGTGTGTCCATGTTAGCGAAATGTTGAGCATACTTTTAGGCGTTACAGACAACGCATCCAGCAAATTTCTGTTTTTGTGGAATTGCAATTTCTTCTGTTTTTCCATTTGCCGTACCAGGCAAACAGAATCGTGTAGCAACCTCATTTTGATTGTGGTCAATTTCAAATGACCACAAACCAGCGAGGAATGAAGATATTTGAGTGAAACTTTCACTGTTGGATAGGGCAAGTGATGTAGTTTTTATGTGTGTCAATAAATTACGAGAAAAATATATGTTTAATTGAAAAATTTCAAATTGTTACTAAAAATACCACGGGTGAATTATTAAAGGGAAATTTTTATGTACCGTTAGGATGGATATTTTTTTAGAAATATTTATGCAAGTTTCAATAGAGCAAGGATTATTTAAAGAATATTTTTCCAACTGCTCACAGAGTCTAAATTTCTCAAAGAATATTTTTTTGAAGTACTAATAGAGTGTGAAAGAATATGTTTTTGAGTACCGATACCTAGTGGATTATTAAAGGGAATTGTTTATGTACCGTTATAGGATGGATATTTTTTAGAAATATTTATCCAAGTTTCAATAGAGAAAGGATTATTTAAAGAATATTTTTTCAACTGCTCACAGAGGGTAAATTTGTTAAAGAATATTTTTTTTAAGTAGTAATAGAGTGTGAAAGAATATGTTTTTGAGTACCGATAGTGGGGAAATTTTTTAAAAGAATAGCTTTTCAGGTTCCTATAGAAGATAATGAGGGTTGCTACGGCAAAACTGTGCCACATCAAAATATTGATTTTAGATATTTCCTTGGGACCAAATCCCTTTCAGACAATTTGATGTCGATTTACAAATGTCCGTCTACCTGGCTGATGCGCAGGATAACTCTCGACGGGAGTAACCGATTTCATCCAAACTTTGCATAGCGTCGTATTTTTACCAACTCTAAACCAAAATCGATAATGGGGCATATCGGTTCACACCTTCGGGTAGCTTCCACACAAAAATGGTCGTCATATTGCTGAAAATTAATTTTATAATATCCTCGGACGGAACTATCCCCATTTGAATTATTTTTTTTTTTATTTTAAAATATATTTTTTTATTATAATTAATTAAGCATTACAACAGAGCTATTTATTTAAACTATTTCACATATCTTACAAAGACTAATTGTTGGTGATAATTTTTTTAAGTAAAAAAAAATGAAACGTATACATACAAAAAAAATATTTTTTTAAATTATAAAAATCTTATATAAAAAACTGTACGACTTTATATTAGAGACATTATTATATTGTAGAAAAAATTAAAAACAAAAAAACATACACAGCTTTTAAAACAAATATAAATATGTTTCAATACTGTAAAACAAAAAAATTATTATAATAAATGTAATATCCCTTTGGTTGGGTTGTGTGGGCTGCGGAGAGAGATTTGGGGAAATGTGGGCACTTGAACATACAAGGAAAAGTGAGGTTATGAGGAAAGTATGGGAATATTTTCTTTATTTCAATATTTAAATAAATATTGAAAATATTGATTCCTAGAAATTGACTTTCTATTTCGCTTTTCTTCACAATATTTAAAGAGGTTATCAAGGTTTACTCATAAGGTTAACAGAGAGGCGAATTCGAAGTCTAATTGACTGTCAAATTTATTGTTTGAAGAATAAATAAATAAAAAATATTTTTATTCGAATCGAAATATATGTGAAAAAACGTAATTATAGTAATTATCATTTAGTTTTCCTGAAAGATATTTTTAGTTTTTATCCTGTTCTGATTGGTATTTCGCGTTTAAAATGTTGACATAGCAAGAGAAGACTAAGGCATGAATTATAGACTGTATGTTAACCTTATGAATAAACCTTGGAGATTATGAAGAAAGTATGTGAACATTTTTTTATTTCAATATTAAAATAAATATTGAAAATTTGATTTCTAGAAATTGATTTTCTATATGTTGTTTTACACAATATTTAAGGAAAATATATAACTCACTTTGCATGTTCAAGTTTGTAAAAAATAAAAATATGTGCTATTTCCTATAAAAATTCTTAAGTAATTTGTTGACTATTAAAAAAAAATTATTTGTGTATTGAAGAAAAAAACCTTTCTATTTTCATATACTAATAAATCTAACTAAAAAATAATGTCTTTCTATAAATTTGTAAATTGTTTTTCTTTTAATTAAATCTATCAGAACAAAAAAAAAATGGGCAAGTTTTGGGAATCTTATAAACAGTTGCATATTTTCTAAGGTGGGTTTTTTGTTTTGTTTGGAAAAACATCGATACTCGAAAGACAGAGATATCATTATGAACTATGAAAATGAATTAATTTATATATAAAATATAATTATAACACTGTGTTGGAACTAAATGGGAATTTTTAAGCAAAAATTTTAGATTTCTTTAAAACGTGATTTAAAAAAATCTTCCATTTGAGGATTTTTTTGAAATTTATAGTTTTTAATTATACGCATTAAAATTTTTTTAAAAATAAATATTTTTAAAATCTACACCTTGAAAATTCCCACAAGTACTGTTTTTGATTCTTTCCAAAATTTAATTCCAAACACAGGGCCTAGCATAATATAGCAAAATAATTGTGGCTAATAAATACATACGTACATACAATTAATTAACTATAGTATACACATATTTGTTTGTTTGTATGTTTCTCAAATTAGAATAGAGCACCTTGCTTGCTTGTATAAAATAATATTCACCACACTTCTTAACACTCAACATTCTAAATTCTTTGCTAAACTATAATTAATTTGTTTGTTTGTATAATGTACATAAATAAAATAAGAAACGAAGAAAAAAATATGACATAGACACATTATGAAAATAATGAAAAAACGGAAATATGAAAACTTATCAGCTAATTTGTATATTCATGGTACTAATTTTTCGGGTTTTAATTTTTTAAAGGTACTCCCTCCTCATTATGAACATCAGAGACCTTTTTACGTTCTGGTGGATTATTCCAGGGTTGCAAATCACCTGTGCCCATAATGAGATAGACAACAGCACCGGAAATATAGGTAATGCCCAATATCCAAAATACAATTTGCCATTGATGATAGGATTTCTGTAAGACAAAAAAATAAAAATTAATTTTAATATTTTATTTATTTTTCTATTTTAGAAAAAATCGAACTTACATCTTCATAGGTCAAGGCACCAACCATCCATGTGGAAAGAAAACCACCGAATGAGGACAATGTATTGGCCAAACCAAAAATGGTACCACTGAAATTGGGTGCAATATCCAAACCATTACCCAAATAACCAGGCGTTACAGCACCATGCGCGAATAGAGCCAATGTAAAGATTGTCACCGACCATGCGGCCTCAGTACCCAAAAACACCTGAGCAATCATCAAGAGGCCAGGTGTGGTGAGAGCTGTAAATAAGAAAAGGAAATTAGAAATAAGTAATTGATAAGAAAATTATTGATGGGGAAATTAAATCAAGGTTCCTCATAATGATTTACTGGTCCATTATTCTAATATATAGAAATAATTTGTTAACAGAAATGTAGACAAGAGATTTCAGAATAAAAATAATAACATTTATTTGGCTGGCCGACTTGGAACTATACTATACGTATCATTTTGGAAAATGGTCTAAAAAATCCGAAAAAAAAATTAAACATTTGTGGGATATTTTTATAGAGGATATATCAAAGTGGGTAACCCAATGGAAACAAGGAATAATAAAATGAAATTGAAAACAAGTAAAATGTGTTTTTTTAATTTCGGCTGGGCGACATTGGAACTATACAATACGAGTGAATTTGGAAAGTGGTAAAGTCGGACGGGGTCGACTATATGATATCATTCACCACTTTGGGTATATTCTATATATGTATCCTAAGAATTGCATATCAATTTTCATTCGAGGGAAATTGTACGAATTTAAATATCGGACGAACATATATATGGGAGCTATATCTAAATCTGAACCAATTTTCACGAAACTGAACACACATCATTCTGGACTTAGTTCAGTACGCTATGCCAAATTTCGTGCAAATCGAATGACTTTTTTGCACCATTTACATAAAATCGGAAGAAAATATAAATGGTACCTATATGTAAATCTGAATCAATTTTCACGAAACTTAGCGCACATCATTCTACACTCAATTCAGTACGCTATGCCAAATATCGTGCGAATCGAACGATGTATAGGGACTTCGGTGCACCATTTACATAAAATCGGGCAAAAATATATATGGAAGCTATATCTAAATCCCAATGCCAAATAAATGAGCTGTGCCAAATTTCATCCAATTCGGATCATAAATGCGGACTGTACCTTGTTTTCAATTTAACACGGACAGACAGACGGACGGACATGCATAAATCGACTCAGAAAGTGATTCCATTATGCATATGCACCAAGACATCATATCATGTACCACAGTGTGGTGATAGGGTATAAAAATATAAAATTGGGGGTAAAGAAAGATAAAACTACAATTTTCCAAGCCAATCGGAACCCAAAATATTAAAATACAGCCAATTCGGTTAAAAAATGTGTCACAAAAATCCTAAAAATACTTTCGTATCCAAATGTAGAGTTATATGAGGTCTATACATAAAGATGGACAGAATTTGAATATTTTTGTTAGGAAGATTCGGCACTAAATCTGAATTCAAAATATCAAATTTGAAGTAAATGTTATATGGGG